ATTGCAGAGAGATCTTCCAGTGAAGCACGCCGGTGTGCGAACCGAAGCAGAGGATGGCACAGACTCTGAAGCAAGCCATTCATGTAGCCTGCTCCGAGGGCCCAAACTTGATTCAAGCTCAGAGTGCACTATTCCCTCCGCCAATGGGGCCAGGCAGCAAGTCGCTCCATGGTTCTTCAGGCCGGTGAAGCCCGTCTCCTGCGGCTTTCCAAGCTCAGCTGTGGAGATCCTGTAGCTTGACTGGGGTCCTTCTTGCAGCTATAATCATTGGGCAGATTCAGTTGGTCTGCAGCTCGCACATAGCCTCAGCAGAGAAGGGCGCCGCTTCGAAACGGAATCACACAGCTGGGCGAGCTGCATGCCGCCCGGAAGAGGAGGGTGTTGTCAGGTCCAAGCCTCGGTCACATGTAATCTGATGAATCTGTCTGGCCCATAGCCCGCGGCCAGCATCACCTAGATCGTGGAACATGAGATCGCAGCCAGCCGCTTTCAGGCATCAGCTCTGCAACTCTGACCTGGTAATGGAAAGTCTGGGATGCCAATCCTCGACAGGCTGCCTGTAATGCGGGGGTGTGGCCATGTCATGCCAGCCGCGGTCGATGCCGTCTCTGGAAAAGGACCAGATATCGGACTGCGCGGCATCCACCGATGAATGAAGGACTACTAGTTTCTAGTACACACAAATAATCACACACAAACGATGAGAAATGTTTCGAAACTTTCGAAAGTTGCAAGGACTCCGTGTCACTTGTCAGCATCTCTGAAGTTCTCCTTGCGGCAGAGGGCTAAAATAGCCAGGAACAACATGCTGAGTCCATACTCCGACAGAGCCCTGCAAAAACCTACGCGATGGCAATTGGGGAGCGCGGGGTACGTCGGGTCCTTGAGTTTCGTTCCGTCTGGGACGTGAAGTTCATATCCAATGTCAGGTCGGTGTCCAAAGTGACAACAAGAAGCGAGATCAGTCAACGGCAGAGTATGTGTTGGAGCCGTTGGATGTGGTCAACAGGCAGATGGCCGCTTAGTGGAAGGGACAATGCACGATGAGAACGCCTGTGCTTACGAGCCTTGGTGACACTTCGTCGGTAGTCTGTCCAATTTACCAGACTGATCTGGTATTTCACGCCATGGAAGCACCACCTGCATCACACTCTACAGTTGCAAGAACCCGGAAGGAGTGCAGTCCGACTGCCTGGGGTCGAGCCCCTCCACGGGGTCTGCCTCAACGAATGCCGATACCTGCACACATCGAATGGGCATGCCGAAGCGAAACGCGCGAGTCTGCCTGCTGTCCCCCAGCGGTTTGAGTTCCACCCGGAAATATCAGCAACCTGCGACATGCGGCCATGGTCACTACTGACATCCCATTAATTGGATTCGCTCCTTTTCTTTGTCATTTCGTGATTTTCGTGTATCCAAGCTGACAATGTCGTACATCTGAGGCAACCCTTCCACGGACTACGAAGCTTCCACAGGTGCCGCAGGAAGAACAACACATTTCAAAAAAAGCGTCGAAACAACAAGCCTCCTGCAAAGACGAACACAGGAATCGCATTGAGACCACGCAATGCCACAGCGTCTCAATCAGGCAGCGGTCTCTTCTGTTACAAAGTAAGAAAAGCTGCAAACATGACCCGACGAGACATAAGGTGGTCCAGGTGAACAGAAGGGCATGTATACCCTACTGAATACCAACATGCTGGCAGTCGTATCAACAGCAGTTTTAGGCAAGCCACGTACTCAGCTGCACAAACCGACCCGCTTGTCTCACGACCGTGGAAGTAGCTTTCAAGCGCTTCGTGGTATGCCAGCAAATTTGCGGCTTCGTCTTCCGTCTCGGACAGAGTATTGTGCACTGGTGACCGAAAAGCACCAGCGCAGCCACGCACGTTGGGACGTCGCCAAGCCCTCGACATTATTTCTTCACTGACCTCCGCACTGACAGAGCAGGGCTGTCAGGCTGGGAGAGAGGTGCAGGCTGAAAGGAATGCTGTCGGCCATCTTCCAAAACACCAAGCTGCAAAGAGAAGCGGGTGACGCGCTGCACCCATCGTGACAGCAGCAACTTCAACTCGCTTGGCCTTCAGGCGAGTCTCGGCAGAGTGCGTTGTTCTGCCGTGCGGTGTCGTACCGTTGCAATCGACTGGGGACGCACTAGGTTCTAGGTGTGCTAGATGCCAAGTCGCATTCAGAAGTCAGACTGTGGTTTTTGTCCTCGGAGCCCCACATATAAAGGAGTTGCTTGTTCAGATTGCATGTTCCTTTGTTCTCGTTGAACTTGCTTTCCGATCCTTGTCCATCGCATTCTCCTCCTTTGCTTGCTTGTTGTCCTCCGGGTCCACGGATTATTTATTGTATTGTCTTGCTGTGTTTCGGTTGAGGACGCTGGATGCCAAGGCGTGCCAGTCGGAACCCCGAGGCCTCGACAAAGGTAATATAAGGATCTATATAAGTATAAGGCAATGTGGCAAACACAAGGCAGAAACGGCTTCGGACGTTCAGCCGTGTTCAGGTCAAAGGCACTCCGACGCGCATCACTACCCATCCAATGTCCTAGACAGGCCCTTCCTGCAGGGCAAGCCCCAGCGGTTCGGGCAGAGAAGGTCAAAGAGAACAAAGGGAGCCCGAGGAGTCCAAAACAGAAAGACAGGTTATCGAGGCGTGGTGGGGTGGAGAGCTCGACACACAGTGGATGCGGTGAATGCTGCAATAGCAGCGAGAGAGGATCGATGTAGGATGGAGGACCGAAACGATCGGGCAAGATGTTCGATTGACATGATCAGACACATCATCGGCGGAAAATATCGGAAAACCTGACGTCTGCTGCTGACACGTGCTGACACTGCCTCACCAGCCCTAGCAATTAGCTGCAAGCTTGCAACAAACTTCTCACCGCATACATAGCTTGCACAGGCTCATCGCAATGGTCATCGCAGCCCCCTTTAAAGCCTGAAGCGGAAGTTCCCCACAGTCTTGCACTCTGATCTAACCTCAGAATGTCAATTGGCACCTGGCATGAATGCATGCTGTGAGTGCTACCAATGGTGGAACCTAGATTTCATTTGTGTTTTGCGTTTTCGATGGGCTGCGCGCCGAAGTGCCGCAGCTGTACTTGCGACAGTCCTGGGCGGCAAAACCACAAGCAATTGACAGGTGTAACGGTGTAACTGCATTGAACCGCTGTAGTTAGTGCTCGTCGCCTTGATGGCAAACTCGATCTCGTTTTGCATGACTGGAGGCCTTCTTCGTCTGCCAAAGTGTGCTCAACAAATCGCAAAACTTCCAGTCTCAGCTCGGCGCAGGTTCTCTTTATTGAACTCACTGGTGGGACAGCCCTGAATACGAATCCGTCTGCTCGCTAGACGGCAAGATGTAGAAACATGTCGTCATCTGACGTCACGGTAACAACTTCGACGGTCTGGCCATGCCTCTGGGGCGTCCTCACGGACACTGTCACCAGACCTTCCAGATTGAAAACAATGCTGTGACAGAAGCTGTGATAAGCTGTGCTGCGCGCAAGCTGGCCTGGTGTACGGGTCCAACACCATGGGTCGCGCCCGCGACACCTCGACACGAACTCTCTGCTTCATACCGCACGATTCTCCACAAGACTACTTTTTCCATCTTTTTCCTACACCGACGTTCTCTTTGCTCGCACATACCCTTCGAGTCCAAGTGAACCTGCTTAGCAGGATATGCTTTGGGATCGTACGAAAGGTGTCCACCCCAAAAGACAGGGGCGGGACCACAGGAGTGCTGGCGAGGCCGGCGAGACCCTGTTGGCTGGCGAGTTGTTGAGGCGACGGAGCAGGCCGTGCTGCAGGGGAGGGCCATCGAGTTGTCCCAAGCACTGCATCAAGCCCGCCGGCTGGCCGAGTGGGTGCGCGGATCCACGTCCCGAAGGTGTCAACAGCCACCTCCACATGGAGCAGGCGGTGTGCCGATGTGCCAGCACCCCCAATCGGAGCAGCGAGCCCGTAGGCTGCGAGACCCGATGCGGCTTCAATATGGTCTGCGCGAAGTTCTGCCCGGTTGTTTGTCCTTTAATTTATCAGAGTATGCACAAAGACATCGCCGGGGCCTGTATCTGTCTGTATATCAGAACGCCGGATAATAGCTACCCGATCGATCCGACGCAAGCCAAAAACTGGAGGGTAGCACTGCCGAGTGTGCGCGTTGTGCAGCAAGGGTGCTTTGCTCTTTGCGACAGGGACCCAACGAGTGGCTGTTGGAGTTTGCAGCACGCTTTCGCATGTGTTTCCCTTCTTCCCTTCCATCTCCTCTCCTCCTGTCTTTGCTGCCCTCTCCTTTTTGAACTGGATTTGCTTTCACCCGGCACACCAGACTCTGTGCCTACAGCTTGCCAGGACGCAGCATGGGACATGTTCGATGGAGGCGATGGGGGCGATGACGGCCCTATGGGCTGGCCTTTAGATGATAAGGTCCAGATTGCACCGGTGGTGCCATGCAAGCACCAGCACATCTTCGAGGAGGATGCTTGTGATGCGGACGACGTGGTCTCGGGGACCATGGCCGACGCTTTGTCTGAGGATATTTCGGTTCCCATCAGGGGTTTTTGGGATACCGGTGTACACAGAAATGCTTCCATCGCAATGTCAGCGGCCCGAGTTGCATGTGCGTCCAACTTTGCGATGTGGAGGTCCCACGCGTCTTGAGGGCCTCCTTGAGGGACTGACGGCCCAGCTCATGCCTATTATCATGGAGTTGGTCAAGAAGGCTGTGGAGTCCGCGCTTGCGGGCAGTTTGTCTCAGTCTGCTGCCCTAGACCGGGCAACCGAACCACAGAATGCGACTTCGAGTGAGCCTCGGCCCAAACGTCATAAAGGCAGTGGCAGAGACAACAAGCGGAAAGTTTTCAGGGCGCCGTGCTGCACCAGTGAAAGTCACTCCTTTGGACACTACTGTGGTTTTCTTCAAGATCCCGGAGGCTTTTATTTCACAGGAGCAATGGAAGCAGGCACGCACCAACCCGGCACGCTATGCTGCATCGTGGTCTGCCTCCCACAAGGTTGTTCTTGCCGACACATGGGGGTGGGTAGTTGAAAGTCCGGCTAAGGCCGGTCAACAGCTGTATGGTACGGCCCGAGTGGCCTCTAAGGAGCTCACGTCTTTGCTTGGCGTTAGTGGGCAAGGCGGGGTGTTTGTTGATGCTCTGCGACATGCTGTCGCGACTCAGGTTCAGTGGCTTGCCCCGAGTACCGGTGAGTCTAGCCTTGCATATCATGAACGGGGCCTGCGCATGGGGTCAAAGCTCGGCCTCGTCACGCAGTGAGGCAGAATTGGTGCCCGTGATACCCAGGATCCGTCGGTTGCTGTGGCTAGATTGTGGAACTTTCCACATGGTTCTGATTACTCACGCTCTGCCGTACCAAAACAGACACTACAACGAGGCACGACACTCACTTTTGC